CAGTGAAAGTTGATATTTGTTGACTCTTAATCTTGTCTGGTAGTTATGTAATCTGCTTCTGTGAAGAGAGAGAAGCTGGCTGCTTTCAAGAGGCAAATGCTAATCTTTTGTTGGTTTTCACTTTTCAGATACTTTTGGCATTAGCAAATCATTTTGTCGAGCTACATCAACACCGGAGTTGAAGAATATTTGGCAATCACTTGCTGTGGATTCTGATTTCTTATCAAGGGTTCCATTTCTGTATTTGGCATGGTAATTTATTTGCCTTTGCTTACACAATATCACCTTTATATTTTTGTTCGCTTGAAATTAATATTATTCATCTACCTGGTAACAGCATACGCCCTTTTTAATCAGGACAAGTTTAGATGTATAATCCCAGTCACTCAAAACACTGCTTTACCCTGATTATGCTTTCTGAAGTAAAGAAAGAATGAAGGGGCCTCTAAACTGTTAGAAATAAACTGGAGAATGCCACTTAATTGTTTTAAGGTCACAAGTTGAATGGTGCATTATGTCTATGTATTGTATTTGTACATAGAGTTTTTCTTCACCACTTAACAGTTGCTTTTGTACCCGACATTGTTCCATTGGCTTATTATCTTAGGCAACCAATGAAAATCTTCCCCCTAATGTGATAAAGCAACTTGCAAAGGAATTGAAATGTCTTGATGAGTCTCCTCCTGAGGGCATTAAAGTTGGAGTAAATGATGATGATTTTTCAATCATTTATGCTGATATCGAAGGCCCATGTATGTAATTATTCCTTTAAAATATTTTCAAGATTGTTACTTCAATTTCACAATTTCATACTAAAGCACAAACTATGAACTTTGCAGCTGGAACTCCATATGAGAATGGTGTTTTTCGCATGAAGTTGTTGTTATCTCATGATTTTCCACACTCCCCTCCTAAAGGTATGTTAACAGAGAGCCAGAGATTTCTATATTTATGAACCTGTTGTTAATCATTTATGTATGTACTCCATCCACTTACACCATTCTGAATGTTGCAACTTCTGGTTTATATATGGCAACAAAATATTTTATCATGCACACTGGTGAATCTTCTGAAATTGAATATTGCAGGTTATTTTCTAACTAAGATTTTCCATCCAAACATTGCTAATAATGGTGAGATATGTGTGAACACACTAAAAAAGGATTGGAATCCAAGTCTTGGATTACGACATGTTCTCATTGTAAGTTCCTTCCACTAGTATTCATAGTATATTGACTTAATTTTTCTTCATTTGATGAGAACTACTTTGAGGCTGCCAACATTGTAATTTCAGTTCTTGATTTTAAGTTTCTGCTCACCTCAAATTCTTCCTTGACAATAACTTACAACTGCAGGTTGTCAGGTGTTTACTAATTGAGCCATTCCCAGAATCAGCTTTAAATGAACAGGCTGGCAAGATGCTGCTCGAAAATTATGATGAATATGCCAGGCATGCCAGGTAAGCAACGGCTATCCTGTTACTTGTTTCTGTGAGAAGGTGTGAGAAAACAAATACTATCCTCAAGAGGTCTCTAATCGTTAAAATTTAAAATGTCATGTGGAGACCTTGCAAAATGTTGTCAAATTCTTTTTGGACTGGACAGAACAACTACACAGGTCATAAAAGTGTTTCGGTGTTTTTTTACAGGCTTTACACAGGAATCCACGCTAAGCCAAAACCAAAGTTTAAAACAGGAGCAATTTGTGAATCAACCACAGCACTGAACGTGGATCAGTCTAACACCTCAGTCGTCAATGTTGATCAGAAAAACCAAGCAGCTAGTGCTGCATTATCAATGCCACCTCCAGTGGCCCCATCTGCCGCAGCTCCTAAAGGAGGAAATAGCCAGGACCAGGCAGCATCGGCAGTTCCAACATCTGAAACAGGTGTTAGTGGAGCTGCTGCCACGGCAACAACAGGCATTACCCAGAAGAAGGAAGGGGTGGCAAAAGTTCAGGCAGACAAGAAGAAAATGGATGCTAGAAAGAAAAGTCTGAAGAGACTATGAAAAACTTGAATCAACAATAGAAATTGGTTGTTTGCATGTTGTAATGGATTCTATCGTATAACCTGTTGGCTCTGCCTATTGTCATCTGGAAGACAACATTTGTGGCTTTTCAATGTTTGAAGATGGCCTGCTTTTTATTAAAAACTGTAGCAATTTCACATTAGAAACACAATCTTCTTTTACATGCCTCAAATGGCAGGGATGGAATGGAATGATACCCCATTTCTTTGACTGTCTCTTCGATCAAATCTCGGCATATATGATCGTGCAGAGCAAGTCCTATTCTGCCAAATTCCCGTCTCTCGCCCCACTCAATATCACTGCAGACCTCGTTTACACTATCTACCATGGCCTTTCTTCTTACTACATTCTCTCCTGCATGAACCCAATCCCTTCTGAATCTATCAAACCAGCATGTATTGACTACTTCCTCCCTTCCTGGCTTCCTTAGTTGTTGCTTTTGTTGCTGCTGGACAGTTGGTCCTCCTACACATGATAACTCAAATATGAGTACTTTTCACTTTGCTAAACTTTGCATACAAGCAAAGGCATTTTAGTTGTTTTCTTTTTTCACTGCCAATTGTTTTCTAGTTTGCCAGAAAGCCGGAGATGGAGAGTTTGGGCTATCATTAGTTTGTTCCCTTTCAGAAGCACCATTTTCAAAGTTTTGACAATGCTCGACGTGTTTGGCCCAATGGGAGTGGTGTTTGTGGCCTGAGGGGTCCCAGACCTTTGTAAAAGCCATAAAGTTGTTTCTTCTTTATTTTCTGAACCTGTTTTCTTTCTCTGTTTCTCTTTTGTATCCTTTTTGACTCTCTCTATTTGTTTATTTAATTGTTACACTCATGAGCAAGAAATAAGTTTAATTAATTCCACTCAAGACAAGAATAGGATTATATGAGCACATCTACATTTTCTTTTCCTTACTTAAATGAATAGTAATGTCAAACCCAATCTCCATTCGCTCTCTAATTTTTTAATGACTAATTTTTCTTCTCTACTCCCACCCCCAAAAGAAAAAGAAACATCTTTTTCTTATAAAGATTGAAAACCTTGTTCTATTCTTAATGCTATATTTGATTTATAAAACGATAATTCCATGTGCAATTAAGCTAATGAAAAATGATTGAGGCACAACCTTGTTTTGTAATTTCATGTGAAAGTAGTGGATTTACTCAAGTAAACCAATTATTTATCGAGATAAAAATTAAGCCCACGTTCCATCCAAGATTGTGAAAGTTATAAAGCAACGACTGTGCTTCAATCAATTTTCCTAACAGCTGATTAAGGTGCACTTAAAATAAAGCTAATAGCTTTTTACCCAAGGAATCTAAGTAGAATGACATAGCTATTCTCATCAATATGCAAACATGACCCAAATTTGTTTTCTTTTCATTTTTTCTACCGTTATTCATTAGCTTTCTCTTGTGTGAATGGTGATTATTCTTATCGTGAAATAGCTGTTACTCATCTTTTGTCCCTACTATGATTGCCTGCAAAAACAAGGGAAGTTAATTGTGTCCCCCACTATAATCAATTATGGGTTATTATGATCCAAGACACTTTTTTTTTTTGTATCAGTATTATGATCCAAGACTCTAAGCAAGAGAATTTACAATTTTGAACAAGGCAATTGATCTAATTTTCTTATCCAAGGTCTCATGTTCTTAAGTAGCATCTACCAATCTACCTGAAAAGTACAGCCCTTTATTTCAGACACCAATATGTTTGACAATGAACATATCATATTCAATGCACATGCTTACATAGAAGAAAACAAAAATCAGAGAAAAATCTTATGCAGAGTTTTCTTATAATTAAATTTCTCGACTTTATTAGAACAAAAATATATTTTTCATGTCGGATTACATACTAAAATGCAATTTTAACACTAAAATTACTAATACATTCTAATGATCATTTAATTATTTCTATATTTAAATTATAATTTTAATGTATAGTTTGAATTAAAATACATGAAACTCTTGTTAGGATTCATCATTTTTAAAATTTTTATAAATATTCATATATTTTCATGATCCATGACTTTGGTCAAGTTCTATTCAAACAACACTTCTTCGAAATAAATCTAACTAAAGCTTTAAGATTTACGATCGAAATAAACTCGATTCAAACAATACTTCTAATTATATGAAAAACTTTAACTTCAATAAGTTCCTAAGTGGTTAAGAGTTTAAAATTTTAAGTTGGATATCTTAAATTTGAGTTTTGAGCCGGAGTGAAGAGGGATTTGTGGAGAGGGATTTGAGAATAGAAAGGTTATCCTCTCTTCCCTCTTTAATAAACCATAAAAAAAAACAAAAAGGTTATATTAAAAACATTATATAAGAGAAATTAAGTTTAAGAAAGAAGAGTTGAAATTAAGAAATTAATTAAAAGTCATACCGAATTTGGAAGCGGTGGAGTTATAAATGTCGATGGCAGAAGAAATATTGAAGTCTGCAACCTCCGAGGACTTGCTGTCTGCGATTTCATTATTACCTTCCGCAGTGACGCTCCGCTTCACAACTTCAATGATCCTCTTAACCGCCTTCAATTCCTCATCACACCTCTCCAATGCTCCAACCAACTTCCTTCTTGTCTCCACCGCCGATTCAGTTTCGTATTCCACTCCCATCAGCCTCGCCACCACCGTATGCGGCGGCGTACGGATATCCGCGGGCAGCATTGGACTCCTGATCAGTCCGTTTCCTGTTCCTTTCAGTTGGATTTTCGTCGATGAATCTCGCTCTCTTTCTGCCTCCTGCTTTTTCCCTAAAATTTGCAAGAGTTCATGCGAGAGATAAATTAGAACTGAAAATTTTAAAATCGGCTGAGGGGAAATTTTGAATTGCAGAGGAAATGAAACGGACCAGAGGTGAGGAATTTTTTGCGATTGCGGTACTTGTAAAGGAGGTGGAAAATGGAGGACATGCATCCGATGGTCTTTGCATGGAGGTTTTCCGGTGCGTTTTCCGTCCGGGAGGAAGACGACGATTGCCTTTTCATATTCTTCCGATGATTGTAAAAAGAAGAAAGTGAGTTTTTTGCAGAGACAAAGGAGGACGTCGGGCAACGGCAATAAATTGAGAGTAAAGGGGAGCACTGCACGTGGATCTTTTTTCCGGACGTGGGCTTTCTTTTTATTTATTTATTTTTATTTTATTTATTTTTTATTTTTTATTTTAAAAACAAAAATGTTATAATTATATTATTATATTAATATTATAAATTTATAATATAATATTATATACTTACTTGTTTAATATTATATTATAATTATAAAATTTATAATTTTACAAAATATTATGATTATAATTTTAGTACATCTAATTATAAATTATATAAAAAAAATAACTCTTTGTTATTTTTAAATATTTCTTCACTTTATTCAAAATTCAAAAATTATGATTTCTAATGTAAAATCTTAATATCAAATTCAACCGTTAAGTCATCCTATTGGATTTTCACTGCTGCACATTTATAACAATGGGTAGAGTGGGATTTACAAGCCTTACTTTTTAAAGCCTTACCTTCTAAAGATTAAAAAGAAAATCATTTTAAAACTAAGTCGTTTCAATAATTTTTTATTGAAAAAGACTAAACTACCCTATTTTTAAAGCATGTATTAAGGTGATATTTATTTTTTTTTCTTAATTTTTAGGAGGTAAAGCGGACAAACACTAACTCTATTATATATTATTTTTTTATTAAAAAAATTAGGAGCATAGGTCGTTACATTCTTCAATTTTTTATATTTTATAATTTCTTTCTTATTTTTCAAATAATATATCTTAACAGTGGAAATTAAAAAAAAGGAGCATGCCATTAAATCCATTTTGAAGCTTGGAAGATAATTTTTGTTGGA